TTTTTCCGTGTCCGGCAACGGATCGCAACCCTCAGTGTCGCCCCCGTACCGGACCGGGACCGGCAACGGGATCGCAACCCTCGGTGTTGCCCCCGCGCCTTGCTCAGCCAGTGAGCGGGAACCGGTCTGTATGTGGGATCCGAACCCTCGACGGGAGCGCCGCCGCGCTTCCCAAGCGGCGCACTAGCGCAGTGCGCCACCGGGCCGGCCCAGTAAAGGATTTATTAAAACCACTACACCTCATTGTAACGATAGTGATGAGATGACACATGGAGACAAATATAAGTTCCCAGATTAAGGATACGAGTTTGCTAAGGGAAGTGACTGAAAGTCATGAACGCAGTTAGGATGAGGCATTAGAGACTTGATGTCCAACCTAAATGCAGCAGATGACATTGTGTAAGTGCCTTTTCCTTTTTAAGCTTCAGCTTCTTCATGTGTAGGATGAGGGAGTCTGACTAGCTCTCCCAATTCTTCACATGTTCAGTGAGCAGGAGACAGAGGGAAGATGATGGGCTTGAGAGTCAAGACAGTGCTAGGTTCAGATCTTGGTTTGGCCGGTCCTCTCTGGGTAACAGGAGCCAGTGACTTAACCCCTCTTTAAAGATGCTGCCTTTCAAATTTCTGAACCAATGACTCCAAAGGAAGTGTGCCTATCAGAGGCTGGCATCTGTGCCACTTCCCACTGGTGTCCTCTGATGGGTAGTCTTAGGGTTAAAAACATGGCTTGAATAATGGCAGAAAAAATGTATAGGAAATCAATATCCAAGAAAGGTAAATATCTAAAATACCTAAGACAATATTTATTATTTGCATTTAAAAAAAGTTTTAAGAGTAAGGCACAGTGATTTCTAGTTCTCGTTTTGTGATACCATCAGTATTCCCATGGATCCGATGAAGTTCCTGAAAATTTTCTAAACGAAGTGTAAGAAAATAAACAATAAGAGTGGTGGTTTTCAAACTCTCTTTCTTCCCTTTACCAGTGGAATATTTTTATTAAATAAAAATGTTATATGGAACTCCAATATAAAATATGGAGAAAAGCAAAACTGCTCTTGTGTGTGTACTTATATGTGTGTGTATGTGATGTGTACTGGGGTGGAGGTGAGGGCAGCCCAACCTACTAGCAATCTCTTTGCTTCCTGCTGCACTGCCTCATCCCCTATGAAAATCTATGTCTTAGATGATATCAGGAAGAGTACGTTATTCCTGGGAAGGGCTGCCTTTCCCTGATGTGCAGCAGGCCGTCCACCATGGCCCAGTGAGGGGGACCTCGCTAATATCCCTTTATAGAGAAAAGGCTCAAAGGGGTGAAGAGATAGTCCAAATTTAGACCCTTCTCTGTATGACTCTGAAGCCACGTTGCTTTCTGTATCTCAGGTCAGAAATTATTTGTCAAAGCCCCACACTCAAACCCTGTTTTGGAATGATTCTATTATGTTTTTGAGGAAGGATCCTCTGCAGGGCCATAACAATATACCCAGGAAGAATACAATCACGTCCTGCTTTCCTATCTCCTCGCTCTCTCTGCTCCTGGTCCAACAGTAATCACATTCACAACAAAAGCCTCGAGAACATCCTTTCTAGCCAGAATCAAGAGTCTGCAGTAATTCTAGCAACTTTCCACTTGAGAACTGCATGACTGCTTTTAGAGTAAAGAGATTATTTTTAAAAGAAGCTCTTGTCTATAAATCTTTTCATTCTGCCTCTCAAGGAATCTCAGAGCAGGGCTTTTGGTTTCAGACATCTGGGTCAATAAGAACCTATAGGCCTAATTACTATTGATTCGTCATTGTCTCATTTACTGTGGGTCTTTGCAAACAGTGAGATTCATTTAGCCTCTACATATATGGTCACTCATGCGCTAATGAGATCCCTGGGGGATGGGGCATATGCTTATCCCTTTGACTCCTAACCTCCTTGCAGCTGTATGTTTATTCTTTAAATTCAGCCATTCCCCCTACATGTTTTTCCAATTATATCTTACCATGTGTGCTATCTGAGTATATCATTCAAAATGAAATGCACTTGGAAGACATTAAAATAACTAATGCACATCATTATTCACATAATTTTAACCTTGCACGATGCCTTTTTTGGTTCTGACTTTGTTTCATTTTGTATGTTTTATCAATTCCTTCTCAAATGGCAGCCTGCCCTCTTCCAGCTAGGGAATCACATTAACTGTGATCCCAAGTGGATCGTTCTCCCTTGCTCTCGTGAACTCCATGCTAATATATCCTGTCTCAGAGGGAGAAATTCTTGCTGTCCAAGATCCATTGGGTATGATGAAGAAAATGTAGTTTCAGCAATCATAAAGTGACTTCACCATGTACCAGGTACAATAAACCTCTCTGAGCCTGGTTTACTCTTCTGCAATTGGGACTAATACTCTCTACCTTATAGGCTGCTGTGAAGATTAAATATAGAGCCCTGAGCATTATAAAATGATAGGTGATTGACAAATAGTTTTCTCTCTTTTGCCATCACAAGAAACTCATTTCTACCTCTAAAAAATCTAAGAGAACGTTTTTTTCAGAACTTACTGCTTATAATCTTAAATGCAGACAGCATCCCTGGAATTTCTCCTCTCCTCTCCCTCTCCGTAAATCATTTTTTTTTTTTTAAATTCTTTTTTTCTTTTTTTTTTTTTTTTTTTTTTTTTTTTTTT